GCCACACTTCTGACAGAACTACTTCAGGAAGCTGACAGCCAGTCCACCTTCTGCTCCTCAGCAGGGATGTGAGAGAAGGTATAACAGGATTTAGGCAATTTTCAGCAGCAATAATTCCAGTATAGTTATCCCAAAATAAAATTTCTGTGAAAACAATTTTAAATAAAAGCTGCATTTCACATTTTAAGAGTCTGAATCATAAAGTGCTAAAATACGGTTTTAAAAACCTTTCTGCCTTCTCGAAAAATAATGGTTTGGAAAAATTGTGTCAGTACAAATTAACTACCAGTTTCTGAAACTGCTTTTGATTTTTAAGTGATTTTATCTATTGAAAGATTTTTGCCTTCTGAGTGACAGACATTACTACCTGCCACTACCATGAAAAGTCCATCGAATTTATTTTTTCATCTGGCAGGACAGGAAAAACAACAATGAAAGCCCCACCCACATTCGAGGGCCCATGGAAGGTAGCTCAGAAACAGGTGTACCTGGTTCACATTTGTTACAGCACCGTCCAAGATGCTCATAATGCCTCTCACTGCTACATGGAGGGGTGATCTGAAAAGTCACCTGAAAAGAACATTGACACCAGGTAGAGATTACACACAAGTTCTTTCTGGATTAAACCAAAAGTTAATCACCAAATTATATTTCTAAAAAGCATAAGCAAATGCCATAAACTGCTCTATGTAATATCACCTCCAAAAATGTCACTTTCCTATTCTTGCCCATTTGCCCCTAAGAATGTATAAAACTAACATTTTAACACAGAGCTTGAAACATGTTTAAGCATGAAAGCCTATTTAAACATTTAAAAGCATTTTAGTAATGCCCGTGGTAAAATGATGGATTAAAGAAAATTTACAAATTGTATACAGAAGGTTTACACAAGCCACATACAAAATTGGTCCCACTTCTCTGGAGTCATATGGTGGATAAGGGCTTAATCAACATTGGTCATGAAACTATAGGGACATAATAAGTCCTCTTAATGTGATTACAGTGGGAGATGTCAAATTTGGTTTTATAGACTCTGATTTTTTAATTTTAACATTTACTTGTACATATTTGTGGGGTACAGTGTGTTGTTTCAACACATGCATTTATTGCACAATGATTCACTTAGGGTATATAGTATAGTTTTGTACCCAATCTCTTAAAAGATGTTTAATATTGCTTACTTTTTTAAATGTTAAACATGCAGAAAATTTTAAAAAATGGGGACAGCAAGGTGTTGTAGGAACTTTGTGGACTAAGTCCCCCTTTCCCCCATCTGAAAGACTCTGGACAAGCTGCTTAAACTTTTTGAGCTTGTTTCCT